AGATGGGGTTTCACCATGTTGACCAGGATGGTCTCGATCTCTTGACCTTGTGATCCACCCACCTCGGCCTCCCAAAGTGCTGGGATTACAGGCTTGAGCCACCGCGCCCGGCCTATTTTTTTTTTTTTTTAAATAGAGACGGGGCTTCACCATCTTGACCAGGCTGGTCTTGAACTCTTGGCCTCATAAGCCACCACGCCCAGCCTGCTTCATAATTTTTAATGGAATTAATAAAATAATACATTTATTTTCTGAAAGAAATACTTTGCTTTTCTCATCAAAGTATACAATGTTAAGTCCCTTAAAATTTCCTTCCCTTATATGAACACTGTGTTTGAGTAATTTCACTGGATTTTTCAAACAGTTTCAAAAACCAAGTGAGTAACTATAACATGGAAATTAAAGTTTGAGCCCAGTGATTCAGACCTAAGGCTCATATTAAGCCTGCAAAAGGGCATTATTGAAGGTCCAGTTAGTTTTTTCTGGAGAGCCTCCCCTGCAGATTCAGCCTGCTCACTCCAGTCACAGAAGAAGCCTTTCTGCTAAGAGAAGCTGCAGAGTCCTTAGCAGATGCAGTTAAGGTTAAGACAAAAGGGGATTGGTAGGGTCTTACTGAAGATGAAGTTATTTCTTTAAGGCAGCTGCTAGGCTTTGTAATCTGTAACAAAGTTACATTGAATTTCAGACCGGGTTGTGGTGGCTCATACCTGTAAATTCCCGCACTTTGGCAGGCCAAGGCAAGTAGATCACCTGAGGTCAGGAATTTGAGACCAGCCTGACTAATATGGTAAAACCCCCATCTCTCCTAAAAATATAAAATTAGCTGGGTGTATTGGTGGGTGCCTGTAATACCAGCTGTTTGAGAGATTGAGACAGGAGAGATGCTTGAACATGGGAGACAGAGGTTGCAGTGAGCCAAGACGGTGTCACTGCACTCCAGCCTGGGCAACGTAGTAAGATTCCATCTCAAAAAGACAAAAAAAAAAAAAGCCAGAGCCTAGTGCAGTGGCTCAAGTCTGTAATCCCAGCACTTTGGGAGGCAGGCGGATCACCTGAGGTCAGTGTAAGGGTTATTGGCGAGTTTAAAATGAGGAAACTATGGCCAGTATGAGAAAATTAAAGATCAGGCCGGGCGCGGTGGCTCACGCCTGTAATCCCAGCACTTTGGGAGGCCGAGGCGGGTGGATCACGAGGTCAAGAGATCGAGACCATCCTGGTCAACATGGTGAAACCCCATCTCTACTAAAAATACAAAAAATTAGCTGGGCATGGTGGCGCGTGCCTGTAATCCCAGCTACTCAGGAGGCTGAGGCAGGAGAATTGCCTGAACCCAGGAGGCGGAGGTTGTGGTGAGCCAAGATCGCGCCATTGCACTCCAGCCTGGGTAACAAGAGCGAAACTCCGTCTCAAAAAAAAAAAAAAAAAAAAAAAAAATTTCCTAACCTACCTGGGGGAAGGGAAAAAATTAACCCCAACTTCCCCTAGCCACACCCCCCCCCCTAAAAAAAAAAAAAAAAAAAAAAAAAAAAAACATAACCCATAAAAAAAAAAAAAAAAAAAAAAGAAAATTAAATGTCAATTTATTCAGCTCCCAGGTGAGGTTCTCTGGTCCAGGGAAAGGGAGCCAGAGAAGTCGAGCTGACTTCCTGGGATGGGGGGCGAGGCGGGGTGGGGGCTGGGGGTGTGCTTATGGCTAGGAGGAAGGAGCAACAGCTGGGTGCTCTGATTGGGTCCAGGGGAGCAGGATCGAGACGGGGTGGGCCGCTATTGGTTGGCGGGTTGTTGGGCGGGTTTTCCGGTGCCAGAGCCAGCCAGGGTTACATTAGCCGGAGCCTTCCAGGGAGCCATGTGGCAGAGCTTGGTGCCGAGTGCAGAACCTGGTGCCCGGTGCAGAGTCAGGTGCTGAGTGCAGAGGTGGGTGTGTCCAGCCTCCCCGGGAGGCAGCCAGATTTATAGTCAGGAGTTCAAAAACAGCCTGATATGTACAGTGAAACCTTGTCTCTATTAAAAATATAAAAATTAGCTGGGCAGGGTGGTGTGCGCCTGTAGTCCCAGGCACTCAGTAGGCTGAAACAGAAGAAATGCTTGAACTGGGAAGATGGAGGTCGCAGTGAGTGGACATTGTGCCACTGCACTCCAGCCTGTCTGATAGAGCGAGATTCTGTCTCCTAAAAAACAAACAAAAAAAAAGATTGAATTCAAAAGACGATTGAAACAGGAGGAATACCAACTATATAAGCTTTAAGGAATGCAATTTTAGATAGGAAGGGCTTTTTTTTTTTTTTTTCTTTTCATAGAGCAGAGCCTATAAGATTAGAAAATGGAGAGTAATAGCATATGGGGGGTTAAAACATCAAATTTTAGACCAGAGACTATTTTACCCTGAGGTTAGCATGTTCTTAGGAGGCACATAGAATGAAGTTGTATAATGACTCAGATTGAGGATAGCTCAAAGTTCCGTAGCCTGTGAAAAATTTCATTTAGACTACTGAAGACAAATACAGGTGACTTTTAATGAGAAAAGGAGGAAAATGTGCCAAGCTTTTACCAAAAAAGCACCTCAACCCTAACCCCAAGAGAGCATCCTTCAATTTCACTCAAGAAAGAATTCAGGGTGAGTACATAGAGTAAAATGAAATCAAGTCTATTAAGAAAATAACGAAATAATAGCATTGATTACTCCATAGGCAGAACAGTCCAGAGGCCTTCCGGTTGCCCATTTTTATAGTTATGCCAAACAGGGGGTAGATTATTTATGCTTTTCCATTTTAGACCATATAGGGTAACTTCCTGATGTTATCATGGCATTTGTAAACTCATGGCACTAGTGGGAGGGTAGCAGCAAGGATGGCCAGAGGTCACATTCAGGACCATCTTGGTTTTGTTGGGTGTTGTCCCACTTCTTCACTGCAAGCTATTTTGTCAGCCAGGTCTTTATGACCTGTATCCTGTGCAGACATTCTGTCTTATCCTGTAACTTAGAATGCCTAACCATTTGGGAATTCAGCCCAGGAGGTCTCAGCCCTATTTTCCCAGCCCCTATTCAAAATGGATTTGCTCTGGTTCAATATACCTCTGATATTTCCCCCCTCTTTTGTACAAAAAACCCTTAATCTTAAGGGTTGTAGAGGGATGAAGATTCATCACTGTTAACTACTTCATGCTGAAGTTTTTAAATCATGGCATTTTATATGCCATGCAGAATTCTCACTATGAATTTATAATCTGCAATATTAAAAGTGGAAGATGTAGATACTCAAGATTCCTATTGGGGAAAAGCTGGGATTTTTGTAAAGATGGAGAACATATAATGTTGAGGTTTTATCTGTGTTTTCCATTAGCTCTATGCAGAACAGGATTAAGAAAATGCTTATTTAAACAGGATGGCATTTATTAACCTGAAAGTTCTGAAAAAAATTATTGAGAGATACCTGCCTCTAGAATAATAAATAAATATTACTTTAAATTGTTATTTAAAATTACAGAACAGCCGGGCGCGGTGGCTAATGCCTGTAATCCGAGCACTTTGGAGGCCAAGGCGGGCTGATCACCTGAGGTCGGGAGTTCAAGACCAGTCTGACCAACATGGTGAAACCCTGTCTTTGAAAAAAAATAAAAAATATGTAAAAATAAAATTACAGAACATAAAAGATATCTGCATCTTGACCTTTGCATAAAACTGATTTTTCTGTATGGTTAAATTCAGACTATAACTTACTTTTTTTTTTTTTTGAGACAGAGTTTCACTTATGTTACCCAGGCTGGAGTGCAATGGCGCGATCTCGGCTCACCGCAACCTCCGCCTCCTGGGTTCAGGCAATTCTCCTGCCTCAGCCTCCTGAGTAGCT